AACCAACACTTAGTGAGAAGGCTTTCTATGGACAGAAACCTAATAATGATTTCTGGCTTGGATTCCTCTGCGGGCTGTGAGGATCCTGGTTCTGCATCATCATCCACTGGGTGAATTAATTTGTTTTTTTGTTTCCTTCTCTGGACAGGGGCAATTACTATTGGCTTAGGTTCTCAGTCTAGTTTAGCTGCAGCCTGAGTGACCAGGGTGTCTGCTGATTCATCCTCCTGCCCCTCTGGCTGTATCTGCTGCTCTACAGTATCTAGCAGTGTGTGGTAAGCATTAGCCAGGGCCCAGCTTATTGCAATGAGCTGCTTCTTGTTACTTTAACATCACACATATAAAATCCATTTTAATATTTGTGAAAAGCCAATATTATAATATGTATCTATGACATAAATTAACTTTATTATAAAGATTTAGTTTTTATTTCTGTTGTTAATTAAGCTTAGACATAGTATTGGAATAGCTGATATATGTATGCTTGTGTTAAAATGCCTGCTTGGATGGGATACCATCCAATGAACATGGGATGAGGACATCTGCTACAGGTATGCCAACTAACGGCACTCACAGTCTGAAGATAGTGTGGGCTGAGGCCAAAACTGAAGATGATGATAAAAAAGAAGGACTAAAACCACAGCCAAGAAATGCACATGCTATAAAAAGGTGGGTGTAAGGAGGAGCCATGCTAAACAGTTCTTGGAGCATGTAAACTAGTTTGGGAAAAAAAGTTTACTATGCATAATTGTTTATGAATATGTAACAGGATGATGCAATAGAAATGATGTGAAGGGTGTTTCCAAAATAGCAAATAGCAGGTGTGCTCTTGGCTGAGTGCTGAGACGCACCGACCGTAACATCTTTTGCTCTATGGTCTTTATGTCCTATTGTCCTTTATAAAACTTTTTAACGTTTCACAGGAGAGTGAACGTCTTTTTCCCAATACCTATGTGCCAGAGAGCCATTATTAAATCAAGCAGCATGGTGACAACTGATTGCTGTACACCAATACAAAGTGTTTCAAACCAGAATGTAATTTTTTTTTTTTTTTTTTTACTTTCTCCTGCCCCTTAAAGATAGACACCAAATTTTGTCCCGGTTTAGAGACGAGTTTAGGAGAAAACTCTCTGGAATAGTGTTTCCTCTAAAGAAAAGGGCTTCAGCAATCCCTTTCTGTCAATGAGAAAATGAATACCAGTGGGTCAAAGTGAAAAAATTCCAACTGTTTATTGACAAAGTGCCCACATGGCAAGGGGAAAAAGAAAGAATAAATGCTAGATATTTAACCGTCAGAACCTTACTTCACATCCTGCCCCCCTCCCCTATCCCTCAGCAGAACAGAACAAACAATGAAAAAACCCAAAATGCCAGGGGAAGAAACAATCCGGCTGGCCACGTGGCAAAGGGGAACAAAATGGCGCCGGCTTTTTGTCTCAGGGAAGGGAAAAGAAGTTCATGCAACAGCTCGGGCAAAACAGATGGGAACATGTTGAACCTCTGGCATTGGTCTCCTCCTCAGAGCAGGTGAAGGTGGTGGATTTTGGTGTCCTTTCTCTTGATGATTCAGCTTTTCCCATGGCCTGGGGCTGGGGGGAGCGGCTCCCACGGATCCTGGCCGACCGTCTCCCTATCGATTGTCTGATCTCAGACCAAAAGCAAGCCGAACAGTTCAAGAAAAAACAAAAGCCGCTGAAGGATTGCTGCTGCAGTCTCTTCAAGGCCAGGGAAAGGGGAAAAAGAAACTTCTTGCCTAAGCTAACAAAAACCCCAAGCTAGCTAAGCAACAAAATAATGCCTATTCATAGAGCACCAAGCACGACTGGGTGTGAGCCTTTGAACAGAGCTGCTGCAAGAACTCCCCCAGGGCTCCCCCTCTCCCCCAAACCCACCTTAAAGTTACAGCAACCATTTCTGGGCATAAAGCAGACAATCAGGAATAGAGTATCATCGTAAAATCACCCCAAGACAGTCTCAGGTACCAATAATTGTACTTTTCTATCCGTAAATATAATTTGAGCCTGCTGTTTACTTAATAGATCTCTTCCCAAAAGAGGAATTGAAAGGAATAAGAAGGAGGTGTCTTTACAAACAAACTGTGGGCCTGATGGTAGATAAGGCCAGAAAGGGAGAGGTGAAAGAAGCAATGGGGGGAACCATAAATTCCATAGGAATTCCACTAATTCACAGACTTACTCAAGACTATGCTACATCTCTGGATTTAGAGAAAAAGATCAGAGACACAAGGAAAAAGAAAAACATGGGGGGTAGACATTAGAAGGGGATATTAGGTGTTTTAGGAAGTCTGTATCTCTCAAGTACCTCAGCCAATGGGGAAAAAGAGAGGGAAATGCGGCCGGGAAATTAGGATAAAAAAGAGGCTGCATCCTCTAAAAATTTTGAGAGACCCCATGGGGAATGCCCCATGACTTCTCCCTTTATTCAAATAAAGTTACAGGACTCCTCTGTCTCCTTTTTGGACATAAATCTCTGGTGTTTGTGAATTTTCCTGACATTCTTAGCACCAAATTTTATATTAATACATTAATCTGGGACAAGATACATAAATATATATACCTACATACATATGAATTTTAAAGTCCACATCAGGTAAATAAGAAGATGCTTTTACTGAAATATCATTATTAGTAGTATTATAAAGTTTAGAATAAAATTCACGTATTCATTTACTGGAGTTAACATACTTAAAAATATTTAAAATTTTCTTAAATGCTTTTAAACATTATACATAGAAAACTGTTATAAATCTCAACAAAAATTACTCATTTTTTAAATAACAAAAAACATTTTAATGCTCTAAAAACTGAGAACTATATTATTCTATTGACTATTACATTTTCATTTTTTAATTTCCTCTTATGCTTTATGGTGGACTCTACTTAATTCATATTGACAACATATGTGCACAGTTGTAAGCGTGAGCACGTGATCAAAACAGGTGCTGGAGAGGATATTGCATGTGAAACTAAAGGATGGAGAGTGATGCACCCCTCTAACTACCTAATAGACTATTATGGCTTTCCTGGGAGATTTTTCAACATTCCCAGCTATTTATTTAATATGGAGGTGAGAAAAGGTAGGGCAGCTATGGAAATTTTGAGATATTTTACAAATCCACTATTGTAGCAAGGTGACCCCCGTGGCAGGGAGAAATCATGAGGAGGACTCCATGAATATCAGAAGGCTAATTAATTACTTTATTATACTATATAATTCTATGCTATATTACACTATATTACATTACATCTAAACTGAATCTGCCAAGCACTCAACTGCACACAATCTCGTGACTGTCAGCCGACAGTCCCCCCACACACACCGGGATTCAATTGGTCAGTGAATCAAAACACTCACACCAGAATCCAATTACCAATTCCCTTAAGGTAAACAATCTTCCACAATGCATTCCACTTGTGAACAACACAGGCACAGCAAATGAGATAAGAATTGTTTTGATCATTCTTTTCTCTACTTCTCTCAGGTTTAGAGAATGTGAATCCCACAATCCACAAAAAGTAGAACTTAATATTTCCATCCAATTGTGTGCTATCACTCTGGGAGCTACTAAAGGCTATGTTAAAGACAGGCTTTCTAGTACTGGAATTGAAGGCAAACTGGTCTGGGTTTGTGAAAAAGGATGGTAGCGAAAAGCATTGGTTGAATAAAGGTTACAACAACAGGATAGAAAATGCAATATACCGATGCCTTGAAATGATAGAATATTAGGTTCTTACAAGCAAGGGAAGTATGCTACTGTTTTTATCTGTTGTAAACATCTTTTATTTCTTCTGCATATAACAGAAGTTTTCAAGTATTTTCAGGATTACTGGAATAAAAACGTTACTAGTGTCTAGTATATTTTTATCCCCCACATTTTAATTGCCATCTAAAGGTGGAGAAGATACTTCTCCGCTTGTGTAAATTATTATATTCCCCCCTTTACCTATGAACCAAAGCCATCTCCTCTAGGAAGAGAATGCAGGGGTAAAATAAAAAGGTGCATTTATCGACTAAAACCAAAGGTAGCAAAAGCAAATAAAACACGCATGATCGGGAGCTGCACCCCAGGAATTCCTGGCTCCTCCAGGCGCTCATTCCCATCGTGCAGCGGCGCAGGGAAAAAGCGAAGCGACAGAGGCAGTCCGCCATATTTCTACCTCACCACGCCCGCAGAGACAAGCCATTGAAAAGCCCGTCCAGCTGGGCTCACAGTGTTCATGCTCTAGTCCCCACCTGCCTTCTCTTCCTTTCTGGTGGAGCCCTTTTTACTGGTCCTCCCTCTCTCCCTTACTACCAGGGCAGGAACGAGCCGCGACAGCTCTTCAGCAGCAGTTCTCCTCGCGCGAGGGGTGAGCGACCGTGCCTGGAAAAAAGGTTCACCTTAAGGAAGTTCGCCCGCCAGGCGCACGCTGAGTTTGCCGGGCAGCGGCTTTACCCGCTTTCGGAGGAGCCGAACTCTCGCTTTTTAGGACAGAAGGAGCAACAGGGAAGCGTAATTGACGAGGAGGGGAGGGATTAACGGACATTAGCATTTCTGTGGGGGGTGGTTATTTCGGAGGGCGGCGGGGGTGTAGTTTGCGAGGGATATTCGGGTGGTGGTAGCGGTAGCAGAGGCAGAAGTAGTAGTGAGGGGAGGAGGAAGAGGGGTGTTTGTGCCGAGCAGTTTGGCTGGCGAAGAAAGCACTGCTGCCGCCACGGCTGCAGTGGGGGATGTTTTCATGTTGCTTGGTGCATAATTTAGAGGAGGAGCTGGAAGCGGCGACTATTTGAGGCAGGGAACGGGGGGATTTGTGCTGCTGGGGGCCCGCTTTTTCTTTATCTGTGAGTGGCATCGAGGCAGCTCGCTGCACTTGCCCTACAGTGCCCGGGTGGGGACTTCCGGGTAGAGAGCGTCTTGTCCCCCGGGACTGGTGCTCTGGTGGGGTGTGTGTGCGCGCGCGTTTTTAGGGTGGGGGTTGTGTCTGAACCAGTTAGGAAGAATGACTTTGGAGTCCATGATGGCGTGCTGCCTGAGCGAGGAAGCCAAGGAAGCCCGGCGGATCAACGACGAGATCGAGCGGCAGCTGCGCCGGGACAAGCGGGACGCCCGTCGGGAACTGAAGCTGCTGCTGCTGGGTGAGTGTGGGCCACCATCAGCACACACGCCTTAAGCGCCGCTGGGGTGCAGCCCAGACGTTGCTGTCCCGGGCCCTGTCCGGCTGGTCTCCCAGTACATTATATGGCGTGGTTGGTTCGGTTTTCCTCAGGCGCCTGCCACCTTCACCGCGGGGCGGCCGTGGAGCTGGTGGCAGTGAACCGCTCGTCGTTCCTCCGCCACCGCGTTGTGTGCGCGTGCTCGTGTGCAGGCTTCGCCGAGGCGCTTATAGCTGGGTAAATAACCGTGGTTACTCTGAGTGGGTTTGATATGGTCGGGAACCCGTCCTTCCAAAATGGAAAGGGAAAGGATAGCTGGTCAGTGGAGGGGGTGTTGGGGGAATATCGGCGATGATGTGTATAGGAGAGTGATGATAAGGAAGCAGATGAATGAAAGAACTTGCAGGGGGATTGTTTTGCAGATTTCTGGTGCATTGTTCTCTGAGTCTTAGGTTGCTGGGTCACCAGTTGCATTTTTTTTCATTGTGATTTTTATTCAGTGAGGCAAAATAGGATAAGGGGCTTATGCCCAGATTGTAGACTGACTTTTAAAGCAAAAGGAGAAAAAAATCATAAAGACCAAGATGCATCCGTGAAGGTGAAAAGTAACCTTAAAGTATACTGGTGGATAGCAGGATCTTTAAGACCTTTGGAATTCACCCACTGTTCCAAGAAGTAAAATCTATAGTTTCATTTATCTTTAAAACAGGTTGTTATTTTAGAGCCACGAGTGTGCAAAGGCAATGTTTGTTTAATAGGAATTTGGCTTGTGTTAAAATAAGCTTTTTAAATTAAAACACATTTGTTTGTATATGAGGTGCTCTACTACACTCTGCAGTTCTTGTAATACGGCTTCTGTTGTAGACTAGCAGGCCTTGAAATATGTCTGCACCAGTATTTGGGTGTATGGGAATGTTCCAAGTGGATGTGGGATGTTTATGCCAAAGACTTTAGTCTTGGGTCAGGTACATGAAAGTAATTATTTATATTGGGGAAATAAACTGCCTTTACACTAAGGTGATTTAAAAGGAACTAATTTAATGCTTGCTTATGAACGTGTTACTTTCTACTTTAAATAATACAGCTTGTCTCCTGTATATGGAGAAAGGTATTGGCATCCTTAACTGATGTAGAAAAAGGAGGGGTGGAGACAGAAACAATGCTACCAGTAATAACATTCTGTCTCATTTCGGCCTAATTTTGGGTTGATGGAAGTGTGTGCTGTGGCTATTTCAAGATCCAAAACCAAGATAAAATAGAGGACAGATAGCTTGCATTTCAAAAATTTTATGGATGTTCAAGTATAATTACTTAACTATATGCATTTGCTGCAGGAGAGGCAGTTGATGTTTGACTTGTTACTTGGGTCAAAATTGTTGCTGCATTTCCTGGTCTTGCATTAATGCTAGAGGTTTCTCCCAAGTTTTTAAAAATGCATGAAACTTACTGAATGGTACCAACATATACTGCACAGAGAAGGAATTCAGAGATTTGATTCCACAGTCAGTAGTACAGATCTAGTATTGTTTTATAAGATCCACCCACTGGTAACGGTAAGTGTATGGTAATGGTAGATTAAGCCCTATTTGTGGCATTACTTTTATAACAAATGAAATAAAGTGTTTTCAGAGCAAATAGACAAGAAGCCATCACTTAGAAGAAAACACACTGATTGCCTGTATGAATGTTTTCTTCATATATCACTGTCTGTATAAACTGTGCTTCTGAACGTCTAAGCATGATGTACATGAAACTGAGGTAAATATTCTGCTTCATACTTGATAGCATATCTGCATTTGAGTAGAAATCAGTATAGAAATTGTTCTTGTGTACACATTTTTCGTGTTGTACTTTGTCAATTGCAGTCACATTTGATTGAAAGTGTTTGTGCACATGTAGCTGTTAAACAGTTAATACTGTAAAATGCAGTATAGCAGTAAACCACTGTTGAAGTCACAGGGTTGGATAGAGATTCAAGTTTCAATTTATTAAAAAGCCCCAAACAAACCAAAACTCAAAGTTTCTAAAAATTTGTTTTAATTAGTGTATTTCTTTTAGGTATCTGACAGTACTTTCAGTCACTCTCCAGCCTAATAATTGGTTCAGTTCTTAAGCTTTTGTTATTTGTTTGGGTAATTCATATGGTTAGAATGGAGAAAATCATTTTAAAAATAGGAAAATAATAATTAAAATGAGGAAACTGGGAAATGTCTGTAGCTGTTTGCCATCCATTTTTTAAATTGACTTGACCTTTACCGTGCCGTTAAGTATCTTTAGTCATCAAAACTTAAAGTAACAGTAGTGCTTAACTTTATTTTATGTAAATGTAAGGCAAACTTTTAAAAAAAGTGCCAACTTCTCAGTCCCACATTGAAAAGTGTTCTTGGATTTAGAAGCCTAAATGGGTTAAAGGCTCTTGAACATGGAACAAAAGGTATATCCTTTTGATGATAAGGTGAAAATGCAGCTTAAGCTGAGCTCAGTTAACTGACCACATGTGCTTTTTGAACTTGTTGCAAGTGTGAAGTAAAAGGTATTAAATCAAAAGGTTTTAAGGAACAAATGAGCATGTCTATGCCGTATTTTTTGATCTCGTTTAAAAATTAGACATACATACAAATGCACATCTATAGCAAATATAAAGTAAAGTTCTGTGTCAGAATGGAGGATATTTTTCCCTCCTTTACTTGTAGAAATTATAGTATTTCCTTGCAAAATGAAATATTTCCCTCCCATCTATGTTGGTTACTGTTACTGTGTGACACATTATGCTGTGTGCACCTTTCTTGTGTATTAATGATATGTTTTTACTTTTCATGAGATCAGAGTTTAAAATGTTGAAAGCAATTTCTGGAAAACTTTTTGCATGGTAAGATTATTTTAAATTATTAGTTAAAAAATAAACTCCCTCCATGATTAAACATTAAAATACCACTTTTAGGTGCTGCATTGAACATCATTGTCCTGTTTTAATCTACTGTAAAAAATTAAACAAAGTCTCTCTTACTATTGTAATTCTAAAAAGTGAAAACTCTAGCATATACACTGAAAATAGTTCAGCTAGCACAAGTTGGTTGCAATGTTTAATGTACTTTGAAGCAAATTCAGTCTTCCACTGATTTGATTTTTATCTCCTGTATTTTTGAAATTCTTCTGTATTCCATTACTACTGAACATTTTGTAAAACCTTATGATTGTTCTCCAGAGCATAAAGTTGTTAGCGTTTGTTTTTTGCCATTGTAAATACGTATGTTGCTATAGTACAAAAAAGTCATGTGTTTTTAGTGTTTTATATGGGTATGCACTGAACAATGTACAGTATTCTGCATGCTTATATTTTAAGCATGTATGTACGTATTTATTGTTAAGTAGCAAGAGGCATGTGATCTAACTTTTCTATGTATATAATTTTGACGGTCATCAGTGGAAGTTATACCTGGTCTCAGAAAGCAATGTTTGGGCTTAAATGTTAGTTTGTAGCCATAAGCTTTCACTACTGATCATAATATGCCTGTAGACTGTATATATTTGTGTTATGCATTATTTTCTCTTCAGGAGTATCTAAGAAAATAGTCAGCAATATCTATAAATTTTGGCAAAATTAGGTATTGGAGATTAATCAGTGAAGCGAGGTGTCAAATATGAGTATCTTTTCATTATCTATATGTTACCAAAGAAAACAGGTGGGAAGTAAGCCATTTGAATTTAGCATGAATTTCAACTAGTCTTGAGTGGAAAACTTTGTTTGTTTTCCAAACCTATAGGATATATATATATATGTTGTAGGGTTTTATTTGTATACCTGTGGTAGCTGAATGAAAGATTTGTGTACAGAACTCTGTAAATTAGCAGACTTAGACTTCAAAAACCTTGAAGAGGAAGTGGGCCCGTCAAGCCAACAATCAATCTTCCTTCTCTGCTGTAATCTGAAATATGTATGCCAATAGTCTCATCTACTTATATAAGTAGATAAACTGATACTACACGTTTTAGGATTTTTTGTACACAATTTAAAAATGCTGGTATTGATTAGCATATCCTAATTGACTATTTTCTTTGCTCTTCATTAAAGCAGAAAATGTAATTATTTTGAAAGAGCATTGCAACCTTTTCTTATTGTCTTGTATTGATCCATACTTATATTTGCACTGAACACTTGCAAATAAGTTTAGGTAATTACAACAGTATGTATTTATGATTAGATAACAAGCAAATAATATATATCTTGATGATGTATGTTGAAACTAGATTGGTAACTATATCCTAATTTGGAGAAGCTGTTTCTAAAGTTATGTAATTTGATTCTGGATGACAAACACTGATCTATCTTATATATATAGACATATACATTCGTTTATAAAAATAACTTTTTGAGGAAAACATAAATCATCATATTGATATCTATGTGATATCATGACTTCACATTTTCTGGAAAAGAGCATATTAATTTTTTAATGCGTGATAAATGAATATTTTATTTTCAGCTCTTTTAAAGAAGGAGGAAAATCAAAACAAAATAACCGAGAAGAAGATTCTTTATAAGTTATCTACTTTAGTTAATGGAAATTAGTTTAGAACCTCAATACTCAAAAAATTCTGACTTAGTTTTGCTCATATGTCAAAAAATCAAGGGACCCAAAATTTGTACTTCCTTTTAAAAACATTATTGAATTTGTATGAGAGGGAAACATGATAAAACAGAGGACTCTCTTGAGAAGGGACTTTGGGGTATATATTGTAATGTTTAGAAATATTTCTGGTTTTAGCTACTTCAAATTGTTTGGTGTGTAAAGGCAGTGGTAATTTAATAAGAGACAGCATTTCTTTTGAAGTACTACGACAATGTGCAAAATTAATTCCAGGAAGGGAGAGCATGATAAGGTAGATGTGTGTTTCTTGCTCTGCTGAATGGATTAATACTCAGGAAATGTGTTCTCATACTTGAACAAGATGGCATGCGGCCATTGCTAATAAAATTATGG